AAACACTGGCAAGGTCACCCATGGTGGACAGGTTTCAGCAGACTAAGGTTTTCCAGACTAAGACAGACTAGGAAGAAGAATGTGACCAGGTCTACTTTTGAAAACAAATTGGCTGCTGAAAACCATATGAATAGGAGGGAAACTTTATTTGATATATTTTCAGAAGATGAGTCCTTCAGGTTGGAAGTCACTCAAAAGAAGACTGAAGTGAAATGCCTTTCAAAGTAGAATCAAGCTTAATGACATAAAGCTTTCTGGACCATAATTTGGGAGTTCTGGTGGCAGAGTGCCTAAGGCATTTGACTGTTAACCAGAAGGCTGGCAACTCAAATCCACTGGCCACTCTTCAGAAGAAAGGTTGGGCAGTCTACTTCCATAGTGATACTGCCTCAGAAACCCAAGGAGGAATTGTTATGAGTCAGATCCAACTTGACAGCAGTGATTTTTTTTTTTTTTTTGGACCTTAATTTGCTGAATTGATATGACTCAGAATGAGAAGAAATAGCTACCATCATCCATTAATAATTGGAACAAGAAATACAAAGATTATCAATCTAGGAAAATTGAAACTCATGAAAACTGATATGGAAGACATGATTGATATGAGGCACTAGTGAGCTACAGTGGACAGATATTGCCCATTTTGAATTGGACAATCATATGGTCTATTGGGATGGAGAATTAAGGAGGAATGGTGTAACATTCATCATCAAAGAAGAACATTTCAAGATCTATTCTGAAGGACAAAGCTGTCAATGATAAGATAATATCCATACGCCTACAAGGAAGAAAGACCTGTTAATACTATTAGCATTCATATTTATGCACAAATCATTAAAGCCAAATATGAAAAAAACAAAGATTTTCACCAACTTCTGCAGTCTGAAATTCATCAAATATGCAATCAAGATGCACTTACTGGTGATTGGAATGCAAAAGTTGGAAACAAAGAAGAATCAATAGTTGGAAAATATGGCCTTCATTATAGAAATAAGGGCAGAAATCTGATGATAGACTTTTGTACACCAAACTTATTCATTGCACATATCTTGTTATTATTATTATTATTATTACTGTGACTTGAGTGAAAGTTTACAGGGCAAATTGGATTTCCATTCAACAATACATATACATTTTCTTTTATGATATTTACGGTAATTCCCACACTGTAACAACATTTTCCCCACTTCCTCCCTGTGCCCATCCTTCCCCTTTATTTTTCCTTCTCATACACTCCTACAATCCTAGCTCTATCCCTATGCAAATGTTGTCCCCTTGAACTCATGTACCTGATTCTTCTAATGAGTGCATACCTTCCATGATATTACTGAAAGAAAAAAAAATCAATAAATAAACCATAAGAAATGACTATACTCATGAACCTCACCAGCTGGAGTACAAAGGAATCAAATTGACTACATCTGTGGATAGAGACAATGGAGAATCTCAATATTCTTCATGGCAAGGCCAGGGGTCAACTGTGGAACGAACTGTCAATAGCAAATATGCAAGGTTAAAAGAATGTGAAGAAATTTAAGACAAGTTTATGAGAACCAAAACATGACCTTGAGTATATCCCACCTGAAATTAGAAACCATCTGAAGATTAGATTTGACATATTGAGCATCAGTGACCAAAGACCAGAGGCGTTGTGAGAGGATATCATATATGAAGAAAGTAAAAGATCTTTAAAAAGACAGGAAAGGAAGAGAAGACCAAAATAGATGTCAGAAGAAACTCTGAAAGTTACTCTGAAAAAGAGAATAACTAAAGCAAATGGAAGAAGTGATCAAATAAAACAGCTGAACAGAAGATTTCAAAGGGCAGCTAGAGAGGACAGACTAAAGTATTATAATTAAATGTGCAAAGAGCTAGAGTTGAAAAATCAAAAGGTAAGAACATGCTCAACATTTCTTAATTTGAAAACCTGGAGAAATAACTCAAGCCTTGAGTCACAATATTGAAGGATTGAATGGGCAAAATACTGAGTGATGGAGGAAGCATGAAAAGAAAGTGAAAGGAATACACAAAGTCACTGTATCAAAAAGAATTGGTCAACGTTCAACCATTTCAAGAGGTAGCATATGATGAACAATCAATGGTATTGAAGGAAGAACTCCAAGATGCACTGAAGGAATTGGCAAAAAACAAGGCTCCAAGAATAGATGAAATACCCATTGAGATGTTTCAATAAACGGATGCAATACTGAAGGCACTTACTCATCTCTGGCAAGAAATTTGAAAGACAGCTACCTGGCCAACCAACTGGAAGAGGTCGACATTTTTGCTCATTCCAAAAAAAGATGATAAAACAAAATGTTCAAGTTATCAAACCATATCACTAATATTATATGCAAGTAAAATTTAATTGAAGATAAAACAAAAATGGTCACAGCAATATATTAAAAAGGAACTGCGAGGAACTTAGCCAGATTTAGAAGAGGACATGGAAAGGATTTCATTGCTAATATCAGATGGGCTTGGCTGAAGCAGAGAAAAACAGAAAGTTATTTATCTGTGTTTTACTGACTATGCAAAGACTTTCACCTGTGGGGATCATAGCAAATTCTGTATAACATTATGAATGATGGGAATCCCAGAACATTTCATTTACTCACGAGGAATCTGTACCAAGAGGCACACACTTGCCCTGAATATCTGTTATTTTATAAGCACACTGTCTTGTACTCTTATAAATAGTAAATATCTTTAAAAAAAAATTTAAAAAGGAAAAAGAAAAACCAATAATAAAAAGGAAGAGAGATAATCTCTTAAAAGAGAATGAAATGGCCTGTCCGTACAATGCATGGATACTGATTACTTTCTCATTTTGAACATAAGACAAATAAAATATCTTAGGGAATTAATGTTATTTTTCATAGGTTGGATCATGATGTTTTACTTTATATATAGAATCACTTTATTGGTGATTAAAGCTGAAGAATTTTTAGGAGTATTTTATAGTGTTTAAAAATTATTTTCCAACGTTTTACAGCACAAAAAAATAGAGAAAGGTATACATAGACCAAAAACTACAAATAACATGTGGCAAAATGTTGACCAGGGTTGACTCAAGATTTGGACTATACCAGTATTCATTACACCACTATTCCAACTTTCCATTTTAATATAGCTCATTCTTTGTGAATAAACTGTCAAGCCTAAAATATATTATTAATAAAGGGTTGATGGAAAAATTAATATTCTCTCATCACCAAAGTAACACAAAAATACTGTTTTGTTGTTGCCAATGTTGTTGAAAGGGTGACGTGACTTTTCAGGAATGGTACGCAATTATTATTAATCATCCGTGTGTTTTTGGTGAGATGGAAAATGAAATACCAAACATCATAAAAGTGATCTAGCACAAAAGCACTCTTCTTAGTGGAGATTCTGAGTCTCAGAGTGTGAGAGGAGTGGGAAGGAGATGACATCTTTACTTGCCTTTTTCCTAGTCAATGGTCAGCTGCTTCACAGGGAGGTCCTCACCCAACTCCCTCAGGACTGTAGTTCCTACAGATGCCCTCAAGATTCTATTAGTAAGATTGAGTTTGATCTTTAAAGATTTCCTGTTTTTGTAGAAATAGGAAATTCTTTCTAGCCAAGAGTGATTTTAAGTATTTCATGCTGCTTAAAATGTATGAACATAAATCTGGTATTTCAGAATCTTATTGTTGAAAATTTACCAAAACACTTCTATACAGAAAAAATCATGAACATATTATAAGGCCCCAAGATAATTACAAAGTCTTTATAGTCATTGACTTCTATTGCCTTTTTAGCCATCTTTATTTTAAAATAGTATTATTGTGATTCAAATATGATATAGGATAAAAATTTTTAACAATGAGGATACAGACAAGTATAAAGGACTTGAACAATAATGTACTTATTCCTATTATCTCTAAACCCAAATATGATGTTGTTGTCATGTGGTATTGAGTCAGTTTTGACTTTTAGTGGCCTCATATGGCAGTAGAGTTGCCACATATGATCCTCTGGGCTGTAATCTTTACAGAAGAAGATCACCAACTCTTTCTCCCATGGAACTGGTGGGTGGATTCGACCTGTCAACCTTTGGGTTGGCAGCCAAACACTTAATCATTTGTGCTATCAGGATTTCTCAATGCAAATGTAAAAAAAATAAAAAAGACTCACTGCCCACGAGTAGGATCCAACCCATAGCAACCCCTCTGTGGGTTTCTGAGGAGGCTCATTAGGGAAGTAGATAGCCTGACCTTCCTTCCCAGGAGTGACTGGAATATTTTATCAACTTTCCTACCTGCCCTTCTTTTATAGACATTAATTCAGAGCTAACAGTATTGTTTGCCTGTATTTGTGTGTGCTTATACATGATATTGGATTTTTATAGCTATTTGTGATAATGTTATGATTGTTATGTAAACAACTTGATTTTAATTTCTCTTTATACTTGGTTTGCATGCTTAAATGTGCTAGATATCTTATAGATTACAAATTTGGTCTTTTTTTGGCATGTTTATCTATAAAAAGATAAGTAGGATAATATGAGAGAATAATAAGCAATCCTTTTTATTTTTCTACTAATATAGATTGTTTTGTTTTTTCATATTTGGCATAGAATATCATTTTCAAGTTGAGACTATTAGATCTTTTCCATTGTCTCCGAAATAAGAGTCTCAGAAAGCCTCAGACATTATGTTGAAACCTTTGAGAATGTTAGGAAAGTGATGGATTGAAGCAGGCACTGAAGTGAGTGCCTCTAATTTCTAGCCAAGGATGTTTTAGGAACCAGACACATAGCTTGTGGTTTGCCATATTTTAATAAGGTGTTTCTAGGGTCAGATATTGGTCTCTCAGATTATAATTACATCATTCACATAATATTTAAAACAAATTCTAATTTGTGAGTAAAAATGGCTTAACATTTGGAAAAAATGGAATTAAGAAAATAAGATTAATAATAGAAAATTTAGGAAATGTATATATGTTGACTGTATAAATGCATTTTAACCACGGCATTATCCACAACGGGGATACTCCAGCTTCCCTTCACGACAAGTTGCTCGAAAAGTGTGTCTGGATGTCATTTCCCTATATGGCCATTTACATTTAAATTCAACAGTATCAGATGATCTAGAATAGAGTTTTCTGTCATATTTCCATTTTAACTGTATTTTATATTTTTCCATCTCTTCTTCTGATATTATACATGCATCTGAAAGTAGAGAAAACAAACATGAAAAATAATCAGTGCACAAAGAATGATTTTGAAGTAGAAACAAAATAATGGTTCAGGAATTCTTTCTCTACATCTTTCCAAACTGTCTCTGTGAAAACTCATCATGAATATTTAAATATTCTAAAAAAGGTAAACCTAACTAACCTACCCCATTGCTATTGCATCAATTCTAACTTGTTGAGTACATTTCAACCCCATGTGATACTGAGTAGAATTAGTTTACAAGATTTCTGACTGTAATCTTCATAGAAGCAGATAGTCAGGACTTTCTTCCACAACACTGTGTGGTGACTTCCAATGCTAACTTTTAGGCTAGTCAACACGTACAAACCATTTTCCCTACCTGGGTTCTTTGAAACCGGTCAATGATGCAAAAATGATGTATTATGCGTAATGTGTGATAACTAGATGTTATCGGAGGATCATAATGTGAACTATAATATCAAGAGTTTTACATTAAAGGACATTCACATCTATTGTTTTAATAAAAATTTCAGAAACTATATATCTTTACATGTTAATATTGGAAAACTCTATAGAGTGGTTCTACTCTATGACAAAGAGAGCTGTATTGAGTAAGAATTGACTCAATGGCAGCAGGTTTTCCTTTATTAGGATTTGGAGGTCAATTATTCAACACAATTGTTCTTAACTAATTCACAAATATTACAAATAGAAAAAATATAATGCTCATTACACTGATTTTTTTCAAGGTTTCAAAAAAGGACTGAAGTACTTACCTAAGCATTTTGGTGGTTCTGACCACTCTCCATTCATACATGTTATATGTCTGTTACCCTGAAGTTCATAGAAGGCCTGGCACTGGTACTCCACTGATGTTCCTTGAGCATATACAGGTGCTGGGAATAAAGTCAAGTCCCCGTTTTCAATAGCAGGAGGGGGCCCACATTTTCCCTCTGAATCTAAAAAATATATATAATATTTGATTAATTGAGAGGTCAAATCAATACACAGATTAAGTTGAGTCTAATACAAAGTAAACATAATATGCAATATCAAGATTTGTGTGATTTCTGAGGAAAGAAATGATTCATGGAAGGAATTCTAATCACATAAATTGAGAACTACAGCCTTTCCAGTTCTTCCTTTTATCCTATCTGAAAACACTACTAAGTATATCCTCCTTCCAGTGTTAAGGTAGACATTATTTTCTTCATGAATATATTCTGGAAAATCTATAGTTAAGATAAACAAATAAAGTTTTCTTTTTGTTATATAATGCATTGCAATATCTATTAGATCTCTACCCTTTTTAAAATTTTTATTACAAAGGAAACTTCAACTTCCTGCAAAAATTCAAAGAATAAACTTATTTGTACTTCTGCTAGGTGTAGCTAAACGTTCTGGATGCATTATATAAAACTAAAGGAAGAGCGGTCTGAAAGGTGAAGGAAGAACTGGGACCATGGGACTCAAAGAACGATGTGGGGGTGAGTTATTTGGTTCTCTTTTTGTTTCCTGTATACCCTGAACTAGGCACTGGAGAACTCTGCAACCCAAAACTAATATCCAGTTCAGACAAAATAGTTCTGAGAAGAGCCTACCATCTCTACCAAAGACTGGAAGGTAGCAGCCTTGCAAGGTAGAAATCTTAACAATATGCAACTAACTCTAGAAAATCACAATAGAAGAACTAAAAACCTGTTTTCCCTCCACATGGTGTAATGTCTAAGACTTTTGAGTGCTAACCAGAAGGCTGGAGGTTCCAACCGACCAGCCATTACTTGGAAGGATGGTTGAGCAATATACTTCAGTAGAGATACCATCAGGGAAACCCAAGGAGGGGGTCACTATGAGTCCAATCTGACTCAGTGGCAGTGAGTTTTTTTTTTTTCCCCTTCCACAGGATCATCAGGGCTGAGTTAGGGGCCTAGACTTCCATCCATGTGGTGATATAACAAGAACCTGTCCCCTATCCACTTTCCACAGGGTCAGTGAGGCCAAGTGGGTAACCTGGTTTGCACCTGGCATGGCAGTGATGGAAGTCTGTTAAAATATCACATTTAAATAAAATTCAGAGTTTTAAAACTTAATACCCAAAATATACAGAGTATCACTGACAATCATAATATCAAGAATGGGTAAAATCTCAAAAAGAAAAGACATTCAATAGATGCCAACACTGATATGATTCAGATGTTGAGATAATTTGACAATGATGGTTAGAACCTGATGGAGAATATGTAACTAGAAATAAAATTTAAAAAAATCATTTATGAGCTTAATTCTAGAGTGGAGATAACAGAAGAATGAATCTAAAACTTGATGATAAAAATGAATATTAACCAATCTGAAAACAAACAAAATAAATAGAATTTCAGGTTTCTGTGGTAAAATTAAAAAAAAAAAAAAGTGGAGTTCCATAATGATAGAAGAAGGAGGGTAGAGCTAAAAAACAATAATTAAAAATATAATGTCTGAAAATTTCCCAAGGTGGTCAGAAAAAATAAACCTGCATGTTCAAAGAGCTGAACAAAGTCCAAAGACAAACCCAGAAAAATTTGTGCAAATACACATCATAATCAAATGTCTGAAAAGTAAAGTAAAAGAAACAATCCTTGAAAGCATCTAGAAAGAAATTATGCATTACCTACAGGGGAACATGGATTCAAATGACTGGGTTTCACATTTGTAATACACAGAGGTCAGAAGGATGTGATAACGTTTTTCAAAATCTGAAAGAAGAGCTGTCTCCTGTAATTTCTATATGCCGAAATGCCATCCTTAGTAATAATAGGGAAATTAAGTCACTTTCAAGCAACAGAAAAGTAAGAGAATTTGCCTCCAGCAGATCCATCTTTATGGATGCCTAAATTAATATTTTCAAATAGAAAAGAAATCATAATAGAAGGAGAAGTGAGACATCAGGAAGGAAGAAAGAAAAATGAAATAGATTGAAAATAATGTGGGTAAATATGACTATCTTTCTCCTCATGAGTTTGTTGAATTTGTTTGCCTGATGAAACTTAATGAAATCTTCTGATATGGTGCTCTGTGTATGGAAAGGAAGTACTTAAGACATTTCTATTTAAAGCAATGTTAGGAAAATGGAGTAACTGGGTAAGATGGAAGTGAAAGTTAGAGATTTTATGTGAAATAGTACAACAGCCATACAAATAGACAGGAAATTACCTATGTATATTGTATTGCTAAGCATAACCACTAGATAAAATAAATATACAAAAAGATACACCAAAAGGCAGTATAGATAAATCAAAATGAAATTCTTAAAAATATTCAAGAAACCTTCAAAAAGGCAAGAAAATGTAAACAGGAATGAGAAACAGGAAAAACACACAAAACAAACAATAAAAAGCCCAATAGAAGCCCTCACATAACAAACGTTACTTTAAATGTAAATGGTGCAAATATACCAGTTAAAAGACCAAGAAAAACTGGGCGAATAAGAACAAGACACAACAATATCCTATCTACAAGAACTCTTTTCAAAACCAGAAACATAGATAGCTTCAAAATTGTTGTTTGTTGTTCCATGCCTTCAACTTAGTTCTGAGTCATTACCCTATGGAAAAGAGAATGAAACCCTACCCAGTCTGCACCACCCTCACAATCACTGCAACATTGTAGCCCATTATTGCAACCACTGCCCATCTATTGTGTAGAGGATCTTCTTCTTTAGCTAATCTTCTACTTTACCAACCATGGTGCCCTTTTCCAGGCACTGGACCATGCTAATAACCTGTCCAAAGTAGGACACTTCTAAGGAGCATTCTGGCTGTACCTCCAAGTTCATGCTTTTGTCTGTCCATGGCATATTCAATATTCTTCACCAAAACCATGATTCAAAGGCATGAACTCTTCTTTGTTTTTTTCTTTGTTCATTTACCAGGTTGTACATGCATATGAGATGATTGAACAATACCATTCCTTGGGTCAGGCACACTTTTTTCCTCAAGGTCACATCTTCCTTGTTAACACTTCAAAGAGATCTTTTGCATAATATTTGCCCAACAGAATAAATCCATATTTTATTTCTATGATGTTGCATTCATGGACATTAACTGTGGATCCAATTAAAATAAAATCCTTGAAAACTTCAGTCTTTTCTCCGTTTGTCATGATGTTGCCTATTGGTCTAGTTTTGAGAGGTTTTGTTTCTTTATGTGGAGGTGTATTCCAAACTGAAGGTGGTAGTCTTTAATCTTCATTGGTAAGTAGTACAAGTACTCTCTATTTTCAGCAAAGAAGATTTGTCATCTGCATATCAAGGGTTGTTAATGATTTTTCCTCTAATCCTGTGCTACATTCTTCTTCATATGGTCCTTCTATCAGATTATTTGCTCATCATACAGATAAAATAACAGTAATTAAAGGCTACAAGTCTGACATATAACTTTCCTGATTTTAAACCATGCAATATGCCCTTGTTCTGTTCAAAGAACAGCATCTTGGTCTACTTACATGTTCCTTACAAGCACAATTAAGTGTTCTGGAATTTCCATTCTTCTCCATGTTATTTATAATTTGCTATAATCAACATAGTGAAATATTTTTGCATAGTCATTAAAACACAAGTAAACATCTTTCTAGTATTCTTTTCTTTCAGGCAAGATCCATCTGACATCACTGATCTCATATCCACCTAATACCCCTCATTCCATGTCCTTCTCTGAATCTGCCTTGAATTTCTGGCAGTTCTTTTTTAGTATATTTTTGCAATCATTTTTTAATTATTTTAAGCAAAGTTTACTTGAGTGTGAAATTAATGACATTGTTCCATAATTTCTGCATTCTTTTGGTTCACTTTTATTTGGAGTTGGCACAAATATGGATCATTTCCAGTGAAATGGCCAGGTAGCTGTCTTACAAATTTCTTTTTACACAAGAGAGAATTTCCTGCTTTATTTCCTTTGTTGAAACATCTTGATTTATATTTGGTCAATTCCTAGAGTCTGTTTTTCACTAGTTCCTTCAGTTCAGCTTGGACTTCTTCCTTCACCAACATCAGTTCTTGATCATATGCTACCTCCATAAATGGTTAAACTTAAACTAATTCTTTTTAGTACTGTGACTCTATGTATTCCTTATATCATCTGTTGAGTCTTACTGTGTCATTCAGTACTTTGCCCATGTTTTTGTTGGTAGGTGCCGTTGAGTCATTTCCAACTCATAGTGACCCCATGCACAGCAGAACGAAACACCACCCAATCCCGCTCCAGCTCCATGATCCTTGCTATACTTGAGCCCATTGTTGCAGCTACCGGGTCAATCCATCTCATCAAAGGCCTCCACTCTTTCATCAGCCCTCCACCTTACCAAGCATGACATCCTTCTACAGAGAATGGTCCCCTCCGACAACATGACCAAACTAGGTGTGACGAAATCTGGCCATCCTCGTTTCCAAGGAGCATCTCGGCCGCACTTCCTCCAGGACAGATGTTAGTTCTTTTGGCAGTCCATGGTACTTTCAACATTCTTCACCAGCACCACATCTCAAAAGCATCAACTCTTCTTTGGTCTTCCTTATTCATTATCCAGCTCTCACATGCATACAATACGATTGGAAATATCATGGCCTGTATCAGGCGCACCTTAGTCCTCAAGGAGACATCCTTGCTCCTCAGCACTTGAAAGAGTTCCTTCTCAGCCAACCTTCCCAGCGCTACGCGTTGTCTAACGTCCTGACTGCTGCTTCTGTTAGCATCGATTGTAGAACCAAGCAATGTGAATTCTTTGACAACCTCAATCTTTTCTCCATTTATCATGATGCTGCTTATTGGTCCAGTTGTGAGGAATTTTGTCTTCTTTATACTGAGATGTAATCCACACTGCAGACTGTATTCTTCAATCTTCATCAGTAAGTGCCTCAAGTCATTCTCATTTTCAGCAAGCAAAGCTGTATCTTCTGCATATCTCAGGTTGTTAATGATTCTTCCTCCAATCCTGATGCCACATTTTTCTTCATATAGTCCAGCTTCTCAGATTATTTGCTCAGCATATAGATTGAATAAGTATGGGGAAAAGATACAACCCAGACACATTCCCTTCCTGATTTTAAAACATGCAGTGTCCCCTTGTTCCATTCAAATGACAGCCTCCTGGTCAGTGTACAGGTTCCTCACGAGTACAATCAAGTGTTTGGGAATTCCCCTTCTTCTCAATGTTATTCATAATTTGTCATGATCCACACAATCAAATGCTTTTGCATAGTCAATAAAATACAAGTAAACATTTTTCTGGTATTATTTGCCTTGAGCCAAGATCCATCTCACAGCAGCTGTGATATCCATTGTTCCACATCCTCTTCTGAATCCAGCTTGCACCTCTGGAAGTTCTCTATCAATATACTGCTGCAACCGTTTTTGAATTATCTTCAGTAAGATCTTGCTTGCGTGCGATGTTAATGATATTGTTTGATAATTTCCACATTCTGTAGGATCACCTTTTGTTGGAATGGGTGCAAATATGGATCTCTTCCAGTCAGTTGGCTAGGTAGATGTCTCCCAAATCTCTTGGCATAACCGAGTGAGTGCCTCCAGTACAGCATCCATTTGCTGAAATATCTCAATGGGTATTCCGTCAATTCCTGGAGCCTTGTTCTTCACCAATTCTTACATTGGAGCTTTGACTTCCTCCTTCAGGACCATTGATTCTAGATCATATGCCACCTCCTGAAATGAATGAAGATCGACCAGTTCTTTTTGGTACAGTGACTCTGTGTATTCTTTCCATTTTCTTTTGATGTTCCCTGCATCATTCAATGTTTTGCCCTTAGAATCTTTCAATATTGCAACTCGAGGCTTAAATTTTTTCCTCAATTCTTTCAGCTTGAGAAATACTGAGCATGTTCTTCCCTTTTGGTGTTCTAACTCGAGATATTTGCACATTTCATTATAGTAATTGGCTTTTTCTTCTTGAGCTGCTCTTTGAAATCTTCAGTTCAGCTCTTTTATCTTGTCATTTCTTCCATTTGCTTTAGCTACTCTCCACTCAAGGGCAAGTTTCAGAGTCTCTTTTGTCATCCATT